GTGGTCGTGGTCGGGGGCGGCTTCGGGGGGACGGCGGCCGCCAGCCTGCTCAAGTCCTGGGCCGTGCCCTTCGTGCTGGTGGACGTGAGGGATGCTTTCCATCACAACGTGGCCGCGCTCCGGGCCGCCGTGGAGAGCGGTAAGGGCTCAGCCCACCCCGGACCCCCGCGGCAGCTCCCCTGTCCCACCGGGAGCTGCGGAGTTACCCGCGAGCGGCAGGGAACGGGGCGCTATCACTGCCTCCTCCGCCCCTGCCGTGCTGAGAGGCTTGATGTTTTCCGTCTGGAAAACAAGTACTTGGCTCCGGGAGGGCCCACGGCCCGTCCGTGTGAACTTAATTGCAGATCCGCCGGGAAAACTGGGCAAAAACTATTCAGACGATCCCGTTGTGTTTATTTCAAGAGTTTAGTAGGTGACTAAGCTAAAAGCAGCAGCAGCTGGAAGGGCTGAATGAATCACTCTCAGTATCTGGCCCTTGAGATGTGGAGCAGCTCAGCAGTGAGGCCCTGGATGATAAAATCATGTTGGAGAGCTACTCAGGCTTGTCTGGAATCTCCCTTGGGAGGCTGGGCTAACCCCATTACTCCAGCCACTGGGGTTTAGGGGGAAAGTCTCATGTTCGAGGCTGTGAACAAGCATCAAAAGGATGGCAAAAACTTGGTCTGAGAGGCAGATAAGGTGAAAAAAGCCTCTGACACCCAGCCCAAAATTCCTGAGACCACAGAAGCACTTACTGGCAAACCAGTACAGGAGATATGGGGAGCAGAGACAAAGCAAGGGCATCACCTGAGGAGCTATCTTATCACCAGGAGGCCAAGGTCCTGAAGCTTATTGCTGGGCAGAGATAACACACAGCACAGCCCAAGGTCCCAGGTATATGCTGTGCTTTTGTCTGAGCAACGATGGCATGAAGGCAGAAGGGAGGAGGAGTTTAGCCTCCACAGAGGGAGAGCTCTTCTCTGCTGTCTCCTCTTACCACAGGATTTGCCAAGAAGACTTTCATCTCCTACTCCATCACCTTTGGGGACAGCTTCCGACAAGGCAAGGTTGTGGGCATAGACCCTGGGAGGCAACAAGTCCTGCTCAGTGACGGTGAGGTGGGTGTTGCAATGACCTGGCTGCCTTATGGGATCACCTGCTAGTGCAGAGTCAGGTGGGGTTTTCACCATCCTGAGTAGCAGGGCAACAGCCCCCATCATTCCCTGCATGGCATCATCCCATCCAGCCAAGCTGAGTGGCCTAGTAGAGCTGTGTGGGATGCGGGTGTGCAGTAAATACCCCATCCTGTCTCCTGCTCAGATGAGCTTTTATTCTTAGAGCTGGATTTAGAGCTCAGCAATTAACCCTGGAGCTCAGACCCTTATTTAACTGTGGGAAGAGACAAGGGCAGCAGCTCCAGTCACTCTTTCCAGCCAGAGCATCCCACCTCTGTTCAGAAGAGGGTGACAGAGAGATGCTATGCTCTGGAGCCAGCTGTGACTGTCCAGCATAAATAACACATAAGTTAAACATAAAGTGTAAAATAAACATAACTTTACCCTGTAAAGTTATAGTAATTTCTTTAAAGCTTTCAGCTCACCTGAATGGTGCTTCTCTCAGACCCTGAGTACGGCAGTTACTTGGTGTCACCTGGACCAGGTCTCCTCCTAAAGTCACTTCCTGACAATGACAAGCACTTTCCTAGTTACCAGGAAGGGCTGGAGAAGAGGCAATAAGTGACTAGAACCTAGGAGGCAACCACTCTGTCCTAGGCTCTGTTTTCAAGAGGTCTAACATCCCATTCCACTTTCTACCCTCCCAGGAGCTTCACTACTCCCATCTCATTCTTGCAACAGGCAGTGATGGGCCATTCCCTGGGAAGTTCAACAAAGTTATTGACATGGAAAGTGCCATCCAGACCTATGAAGACATGGTTAAAGAGGTGAGGAATCAACTTATTTCCTAGTAGGTGCTGCCTGCCTTTGTTCAGCCTACCTGTCCCAGGCAGCACTATGGATATCTGTAGCCATCTGTGTCCTAGAACAAGAGGCCACAATAAAATGCCTACAGGGACAGGCCAGGACAAGGAGCTCATCAAGGCTTGTCTAGCATTCTGCACGAGGGGAAACCTGAAATGCTCAACAGTGTTACAGTGTAGGCAGAAAGAGAGCAAAGGGTTTTCGCTTTTTGTTTCCTCTTAATGAACTAAGTGGTTTGTTGCTGTTGGGCCTGTGCTGTGCCTCAGAACGTTCATGGAGTGGCTGAAGGCATCAGACTTTTTGCAGTTCTATTGTAACACGAGTTGCCTCTTCAAGGTTGAGAAATCTGAGCGCATCCTGGTAGTGGGAGGTGGTTCTGCTGGAGCTGAGATGGCTGCTGAGATCAAAACGGAGTACCCAGCCAAAGAGGTAGGAGCATCTCTGTTACAATGAACTTCATCCTGTTCTCTGAGACTGTTCTGTGATGGTGCTGCTGGAGGTATCCAAGATGACTGCACATCAGGAGTTACTGAGAGCACCCTATGGCTTGCCACCAGCAATGACTGGCACTAAAAGCCTTGGCTCACTCTCCTTGCAGGGAGAGGGAAGCCAGCTACAGCTGCTCCCACATGGTGCGCAGTGAGTCCTGTCCCACTCCTGTGTCCCCGTTTGCTGTTCTGTCCCCAACAGGTCATCCTCATGCACTCCAAACCTGCTCTGGCTGATGTGGAGCTGCTTGCCAGCGTCCGTCAGGAGGTGAAGGAGATTCTCCTCAGGAAAGGAGTGCGGCTCCTGCTAAGTACGTACTTAACAATGCCTCTGAGGATCTATGGGCTGCTCTTCCTTTAGCCAAAGCATCTCCTGATGTCTTCTTTTTGACAAAATGTGGCTCCCTTGAATTCCTGTTCCTCTGGGCTAGCTGGAAACGGCAGCCTAGCAAAGGTTTGTGACCCAGGGCTCTCTTTTGCAACAGGTGAAAGGGTCAGGGATGTGGAAAACCTCACGCCAAACAAGTTCCAGAAGGACATGGTGGTGAGGACAGAAAAGGGCACCGAGGTGGTTGCTGACATGGTGGTGCTGTGCACGGGGATAAAGATTAACTCTTCAGCATACGCTGCTGCATTTGGTAAGTGAAAAAACCCCCACTGGGTGGGGGAACCAGCACAGCTCTTCAGCATCTTGTGCTTGAGGGGTGTGAGGTGAGGAATGAACTGTATACAACCAGCAGGGGATATTCTACTGAAATATCAAAGGATGATGCACTGCATGAGACTGCAGTGATTAACCACAGCAAGGCAAAAAGCACTTCTTCCCTGACACATAGAAAAGAGGGTGAAAAGCCAGCTCCTCACTTTGTGTCAATAACATCAGCAGCATTTTGGAGTCTTGGGCCACAAGAAGCAACACAAAGCTGCTTATAAAAACCTGCTGTTTGGCAAAACAGGTGACAAAATGGCAAGTAATGGTGCTTTGAAAGTTAACAAGCACCTCCAGGTGGAAGGCTACGAGAACATCTACGCCATTGGGGACTGTGCAGATCTCAAAGAGCCCAAGATGGCCTACCATGCCGGGCTCCACGCCAACATCGTGGTGACAAACATCATCAACAGCCTCACACAGAAGCCTCTTAAAACCTACGAGCCAGGTAAGGTCATCTCCTAGCTCCTGGCCTTAGGTGTTGGGCTGCTTTTCTGCAGGGAATAGCTGTTCAACTTGCATAGGACACTGATTAGAGGACACTGATCACAGCTGGGGCTGACTATGTCAGTTGATAGCTCAGACTTCATCTTAGTCCTTGCCAAAGACTGTAGCTGCCTATTACCTGTGCCAGTCTACTGACACGTGTCCTTTCTTCACTGATGTCTTCCTGAAAAATCTACTGGTGGGAGTCTGCTATTCATCACACTTGTTTGAACAAGGAGATGGCTTGGCTTTCTCCCCTTCAATTGTACAACAAACGATACAAAAATCCAGCTGGGCGATGGGTCTCAATCATAAAGCACTGATGTAAACACTAACCATAGCTGTGCCGAGAGCTGTTCCACAGGGATGCAGGGGATCTGGACAGCAGTTGCTTAACTTAAGCCTCTACATCTTTTTTCCAGGGTCACTAACATTCCTGCTGTCCATGGGCAGGAATGATGGTGTGGGCCAGGTGAATGGGTACTACGTGGGACGTCTCTTGGTGACCATTGCCAAGAGCCGGGACCTGTTTGTCTCCAAGAGCTGGAAGACTATGGGACAGACAATGCCCTCTTAGGAGGACACCAGGAACAAGCCAGCAAGGAAAACAGCCACTGGAGGGTGAGGTGCACTCCTGTTGCTTGGACTGGCTGATGCTGCCTCCTGCAGCACCTCCTCGACCACCTGTGCCACATTAACAGAGCGCCCTGCCTTGCTCTAAAGGGGAAGGAAGCACTTCCCAAACAATTTGCACAGAAGTTCCCATGATAGAAACCAGGGAAGGAATGTCTCTTTTACTCCCCCGCTGAGATATCTCTGAGCAAGAAGCTTGGCTTACCTTGATTTGTAACAATAAACACTGTGGTTTTCAGAATCTCCGTGTTTTATTTGTTATATGGGTTTTCTTTTTTCCCTGGCTTTCTCTATTCTTGCTCTTCTAAAAAGTACCTGCCTCTTACAGATCTGGAATCTGTTCTGCAGCATGCAGGGAGAATGGCTCTCAGTGCTGCCAGGGAAAAGACTGCCTAAAACCTGGGAGGGGCTAAGGTAATCCTGGGATTCGACAGGAATATATACATATTCCTATAATAATATAGATATTATTATATTATTACATATATAATATATTATATATATTATAATATCTATATAATGCATATAATGCATTAATGCAGCTTTGTGTCAAAATCACCACAGATGCTTTGATCACGTCACTTACAGCACTACACTTCAGCCAGAAAAACTGCTGTTGTGATACAGCAAGTACTTAGTTAGAGTTGATGCTTCTTTCTTTTCTTTTTAAGGTGAGAAATTCCCAGAACAAAATTAGGGATTATAACAATAACCACACTTGACACATTTTTTTTTCTTATAAAACAAACAAAATCACCATGAAATATTCTCAGTAATTACAGAGGTTATTGTGAGTTAAAAGCAAAACAGAAGCTTCTCATGCATCACTTCTAAAATCCTTTTCCCCTCTCTCTGTGGGCTGAAGGCAGTTTACCATCTACCCTCAAGGGAGGGGAAAAGGGAGCAGAACATTTTTAAGAGCTTTCTTTAAAGTGTTGTGTGTGTGGAGAAATCATCACTACAAATCTATAAATGAGGTTACTCTTTAAAAACTCCTAAACTAAAGTACCAAGGGACACTAAACTCCCCAAAACAGATGGTAACTCAATTGCTTAAGGTGATAGAGGATGCTGATAGCATGAAGAAATCGGACTAAACCCCTCTCATCTCTAGTCACAGCTCTTCATCAAGTCACAACACATCACACTACTACCACTCCCCCTCCTCATCACATTGAAAAAATAAAACCCACCTCTAATGCTTTTAATGCTACTCAAGTTTGTTGAAAAATAAAGTTTCATTTGGCTGCCACTGCTACTTGGTGTCTAGCTTGGCCATTTCTTGCACGTAGATGCCGATGCTTTCACTGTCGAAGAGCAAGAAGTAAATGTTCTTCAAGGAGGAAGAGCTGGTGCCGTCAAAGTGGGTGGAAATAGCTCTGAGAGTCACCTGGGCTGCTGTCTGTTTTGGAAAGCAGTTTCTGTGTGGGAGGGGAAGAGAAGAGCACAGGTGAGTGTCACAGGGCAGGCACTGGGTACACGTGATGCTGAGAACAACCAGCCAGCGCTGCTGCCAAGACAGTGCCAGTCGCAGTCTGGCAAATCCAGAAGCAAACCCCAAGGTTTTGATAGCAGTATTCACCTGCTGCTGTATCAGTCTCCTTGCTGGCATAGCTGCTGTTTTCAGTTGCTTCTCCTTTTTATAACCACACAAAGGTTTTTTTAATGCTCCCACCTAGAATTAAACTTTTCCATGCCATGCTGGGCAGGCTGGAAAGTTCAAAGGATGATTATGTTTTTTAGCTGAAAACTGAAAAAGAAAAACCAAACCAAAACCAAAACATCACCTACTTAGCTGACTTTCTCACTCTGTCATTAAAAATACTTTGCCTGGAACTCCTGTGAAAATAATGGAAATTACAGCTCCAAGCCAAATTTAGGTCAAGACGCACTCATTCACTCGTTTTGATGGTAATATTCTCTAACCTACAATCTGAACAGCTAAAAGCTACCAATTGTTACAGTATGTGGGCTTTTTAATTCCTATTTAGATTCTGCTGCATGATAATGCTCCAGAGGAATTTTGATCCATGCCAAAAATAGTTGGTCAGCACAACCTAGGCCGTGCCCTTCGTCTGAGACAGGAATTACATATCAAACTTTTGTGCTCTGAAAAAGGTTTGTCTATCTTATACTTACAGATCTTTGGTGGGGCTACAGCAGAGTACACAGATAAGCCATTCCAGTGCCTAATAATCCTTACACTTGAGAGATTACAGTATTTCTTCAAATAGCATCCAGAACTGCCTTTGCAGTGTTTTTTCCTTCCCCCCCCCCTTTCTGGTAATGCTTGCATGTGTTTTGTATTTCACTTTCTATGTTTAGTACTTCTCACTTCTCTTTACTCAGTTTTATGTGAGTGATTTCAGACTACCTCTCATATTTATACTGAAAACCATCAAAAAGATCTGGCTCAACTGAAATATCCCATCTATTGCAGCGTTACATCAGTTACTGCAAACATTCCCTAGGATGGGACAGAGGAAAATGTAAAAAATTCACAGGACTGATGCAGCATAATTCGTGATCTACCCACAAAACCAGTATTTCCTGTGCAGACATGTAGGGAGAATAAAATGAAAACAAAGCCATTAAGTCCTATTTGAAAAATTCTTCCCTTTTTTTCAGAAAATTTTGAGGTCCTTTGATAAATCTTACCACCCGGTAAGATTTATTCTATTTTCTGTTAGCAGGAGTAATTGTAAGAGCAACAGAGAGTGACATGGAACAAAGCAGCAGAAGGATCTGCACCAAGACTGATGGTCCAAGACTGGATTATGCTCACAGAAGACAAGAGGTCTCAAAACTATTTCTATTGGCATTAAAAGCTACAGTTCATTTTTGAAAGGTGCTCTTTATTATTTAAGAGTGTTAAAAAAAATTATCACGTTTTGCTCTGACTGAAAACCACAAACAGAAAGATCTGTATATATAAAAAAACCACTAAATATTGCACTGCCCCTCTATTTATTCTTTTGTCCTGATCCATAAAAATATTATTTTGCTTTGAAAAGTGTCTGTGTAAAAACGGCACTTTCACCTCCTGTGTATTCAGTGATGTGATCAAAACACAGTTTTAATTTCATTTTACTCACTGTTGGGCCAACACAACTGGACTGTACTATGTACTCTACTCTTTGGGCTCTACTATCAAAACCAGCAGGTACATTTCAAATCAAATATAAGCCTTTGAACTCTAACACAGAAGAACAAGTTCTGCAGTTAGCAGGGCTTGTCTAAGGTTTCTTGTGATCAGAGACCAACAAAATGTTGGTTTAAAAAGAAGTTAAAAAGAAAAAAAAAAAGAAAAAGATAAATACTTTGGATTTCTTAGTCAACCACATTTTGTTTGCTAGTCACTGAGACAGAAACGTGCAGCTTCACAGCTGGTTTCATAGTTCCCTTTTTAAAGCAAATCTACATTTGAGAAACATTTTCTTTTGAAAAAAGAGATTTTGTGTGACCAGTCTGTTTAGTACATATTGCCAGGGTGACTTAAGTGAGCACCCCACACCTACCTCAGTAGAGCGTCCCTGTTACCTGCCCTCAGTATTATGCTGGTATAATCTTATTAGTACAAATGCAGTTTTAATAAGACCCCCACAGCCAAACAAAGGCACCTGAGGGGGTGTAGGCCCGTAGCAGAGGAATGAAAATGAGTGCCCAGCAATACAAAACACAGCAAGTCCACTCAGCTCTCCTGTGAGGTGGCTAATTTCTCTTCACAAAGGTTTTCTGGCCGTGTCCTGCCAGCACTGCCCTGGAGGCTGGTTTCCCCTGGAGCAGCACGGTGTCAGATAGCAGGGGCAGAGGCAGGGTCACGGGGCAGAGGGCACCTCTCTGCCACAGCAGCAGCTCTCTGACAGCTAATTACACCACTGCTCCCTGACACAGAACCCTCCTGTGCAGCCAGAGTCCTACCTGCCACTGGGAAACGGGGGGAACGCCACGGACTTCAACTTCTTGTCTTCTGCAGCTGTTAAGCAGTTCTTGACAGTCTCCTCGAGCTGCTCTTCACACTTGTCCGAGCCCCACTGTGGGATGTGACAGTGGATGACAAACTTTGCTGCTAGGCCGCTAGACTGAGTGAGTGCAGCTAACACAAACGGAAACGTAACATTTAGTGTCAAACAGGAACCACCCTGCGCTGACCTCTCAACCCAATGCACTTCTTAATTACGTTACCTCTCCAAAGAAATACATTTGGAATTACGACACGCCACAGCGGCTCGCTCGCAATCATGATCTGACTGTCTCATCATTTACCTTCATGATCAATGGTTATTTCTTTGGAGACCAAAGAACCCAGGGCTCATTTGGTTAGCACACAGTTATTCAATAATGGTTTTCAGCTCTCTCATTCAGCGTGGCCTCTGGGTTTTTTTTTATGCAAAGTACCGAAACCTTGCCCTGAACACAGCAGCACTAATCCCCCAACAGACATTTCTGCAGTGCTGTCACTGAATGCTTTGCACAAATATCCTGCATCATCACCACCATCATATTACAGCTCCAGAGTGTTGGGGAGTAATATTTACACAGCTGGGTAATTTCAGACAAGGACAAGAAAATCAAAGATGCTTGTTGAAGGTCCCCACCAGTTATGTCCAATTAGGAAACTCAGATTAATTTTTCAGAAAGCCTAATATTTCTCCAGGACCTGCAGAGTCCACAGCATGGCATCAGTTTGCTTTTGTTGTAACTGTGACCATCAGAACTACTGGAAACCTGGGTCTGGGGAATCTCAGTTTAAACTCTCTGATATTAGCTGTGCAGGATGAAATTAGCCCAAGGATGAAAAACTTTGATGTATTCACATGTCCACCATTACAGAGAAAAGCAGTTTACTTTGATTTTAGGGCAGATAAATTTGATTAGATGTGAAAGTGAAGCAAATTATCTTGTATAAAAATTTCCCTGTCATTTGAGATTATAAAACTAGGCTACTCATTTAGAAAATTTCCAAAATGAGACAATTTAAAGCATTTACTTTCTTGAGTATTGAGATACTAAGTCAAATAAGACATATTATAACTTTCTGTAATCTGTCTTCCAGCCACCTTTAACCCCTATAAACTGGTTTAATTTGTCCACAAAGCACAAGCTCAAGTCCCAACCCATCCACTGCTACAGATGTATTAAACCCTTGCAGGGAGCTCTTCTAATAATTTAGCTGTAGTGCCTGAGCAATTGCTCTTCCAAAAATCAGTAGAAACAGAGCAGGGAAGATGGCACATAGGTGACAGCACAAGATTTTCTTAGTTTTGGGGCTCCTGCAGACAGAAATTGCCTAAGAGAAATTAATCAGCCCAAAGACTGAACGTGCACAGCACACAGGTATCCTATTCCTCCTTTTTTGCCCCCTCAGCAGGTTGTTCACATCAGCAGCAGCTTCGAAGAGGAAACATTTACATCACACAAGCAAAGGCACATACATAATCCAAAACAGACCAGAATGTCCAGAGAAAAGAACACATGAAATGAGCTGTGTCCAAGGCAGACTGCAGTATCCTTTTTACCTTCAGCAACTTCCAAAGGTCCTTGAGATTTGCGAAGCTCTTTCACTGTTTCTAAAAACTCTTTTCCTCCAGCCTTTTCCAACGCCTTGCCTGCAAGGACACGGAGCAAAAGGCCTTGGCTTCGGAGCATCAGCGTGGAAAAACAACTCTGCATTCTTTAAAAGAACACTGTACACTTATTAGCCTGTCTCCCTCTATCAGCAGCAGCTGATGTTTATGTTTGCCACTGTGCCTAGACACAGATAAAGTTACTTTTTATTGGTTTTGAAGAGCCCTCTATTATATTACTGGAAATGACTTTAATATAAATATCTGCAAGAAAGCTATCTTACTCTGATTTATGGCTAAAATAGTGAGGATTTTCAGGACTCAGATTTTCAGCCTCCAGAATCAGTTCAGCATACAAACCCTACTACTTGCTGAAACAAACACAGCTGAGATGCCAGTGAAGGTCTTGATGACTACAAAACAATGATCCCAAAGCCTGTTACTAGATTCTGTGCCCCCTTATGTGAGGGACTAATAGCTTTTTACCTCCCTCCTGCTTCAATTTCCATATTTGTAATGATAACATTTCCTTATTTCACATAAGCAGTATAAGGCTTTGTACCTGAGTATTTCTAAATTATGTCATATCCTATACTGAAAAGCATAATTAGAAGTGCTATTAATGTATAAGTTTCGTAAGAGAAATTTCAGAGGCAAACATAAAATTAATCCAAGAAAAGACAGCAGTAATGATTATTTACACCTTTGCTGCTCACGTGCTTCAACAAATTATCTGTGTTTTGCTTGTCACAAGACATCATTAAAAAAAAAAAAAGATAAATTAAAGATTAGCCTGTTATACCTAGTCAGATCCAGCCTGATTTTCAGAAGTGTTGTAAATGATATTTATGGCCTGGGGAAGATACAGATGAAAGAGGATGGGATCTCAGCAGGCAGCCAGTAGACCAGCTACTGTTCCAACTCTAGATCTGTTTTTTCTGCCTGTAGCAGAGCCTCACCTATTTCCTCCTTGAGATCTATTTCAGCAGTTGTGGGGTGAACGATGCCTTCTACTTTCATGGAGCCAATATGGCTGATGTCACTCTGTGTCAGAGAAAGCTGAAAAATAACAATGAGGGGACAGAAAAAAAATAAAATAGTAATGTGAGTGCAAAAGTATTTTCATACCACAAAAAAACTAAAATGAAAGAAGTCTGGATTCAGTCTTTCAGAGATCAGTTATTTTATTGTGTTCAGTATGTGCGGTTCTTATTTTCAGCTTTTGACTAATTAATTTGCACACCGCTCCGAATATTTGGTGATATGCCCACAGCTTGGGAGTTTGCTCCAGAGGAAGTTACTGCTAGAAAAATCAGTCTTCTAGCATCACACTTGGGAGAAAAAAGGGCTGATTTTGGAAATGCTTTGGTTTAAAGAGAAAAATAAGGAAATTAAAAAGTGTTTCTCCTGTAGAAGCACTTGCCCTCAGACAACTACTGTAAGGGGGCTGAGAAGATGGGCTGAGCACTATCCTGATCTGTGAAGGCTTCACAACCCCAGTGATTAATTACCCATTCCTGGCATAAATGATAATAAAAAATTGATTATATTCCCATAGCTAAATCTGTAAGAAAACCTCCAGCTTAATTCAGAGGGTTCAAAAATTAAGGAAGGCAAAAAACCCCTCTTGTTCCTGGAGAGTACAGGGGAACAAAAAGTAATAAACACAGGGCACAGTCGATGGAACACCAGGGAGATGTATTTTGGTGGGACAGTTTTGTAACTCTGGCCAGGCAAGATGCCACAGCCTGTGCTGAGACGGAGCAGTAGGAATGTTCTGCAGCTCTGGTGATGTCCTCAGTTGGAACACTGACAAAGCAGAGTCCCACAGCCCACTTTCAGATGGAGCACCCGGGCTTCTGGCACAAAACAACAAGCTCTGGGTGATCCTGGGACCTGGCCCAGAAATACTCTTTGAGAAACAATAAATAGCCTAGAAGTTTAAACCTGGTTTGGCAGTATGTCAGCACAACACAGACAAAGCCAAACCGAACAAAACCCCAGTCCTGCTTAGGCCAAGAAATGACTCAGTGTGGATCTCTGCAGAGGGGCTGACCAGCATTGTTCTTGGAAATCTTTTATCTGCAGACATACTTTTGAGACCTTGCCAATGACTTGAGCGAGTTTTGGCCTTAAATTTGGGACCACTAAGGCAGAACACAGAGATTTTGCAGTGCTGTTGGATCAAACCCATCCTTTTGTTAATGCCAGGCCCCACTGCTGTGATCCCAATCCGTTCTAACTTCGTATTACCTTTTGCCCTGGCACAAGGCTCTTGGAGGACAAGATAGTGAAACCATCCCCAGGTCCATCCTCAGATGTTGAGTTTGAAGCTCCTTCTTTTTCATTGTCTTTTTGTTTGTTCTATTTGAGGGGAGAAAAAAAGCAAGGAAGCAAGGACTCTCAAAGGAAAAAAAATAATCAACATATACCATTATTCAGTAATGGATAGATTTAATCAGTTCCTATAAATCTCATCTCCTCAGATCAATATATTACTTGTAGCCTTCTAATCCCCAACGATTATATAATAACAGAGGTCTGCTCCGTTTATATAATGCTAAACATCAGTGGTTCATCTGAGGTATTATATACATTTGTGGTTACATTCTGATTCCGGGCACCCACAGCCATCTGTAGTTTCACTAACAATTAAAGTTGTATTTATGGGTGGGTGTGTGCTAGTTTATTTTTGTTGCTAACAGAGCAGAGCTCATAATAAATCAGACTTAGTAACTTAGTAACCCAATCAAATATCCCAATCTGAAGAAAAAACAACTTTGTGATCAGAAAAAAAACCCTGTTAAGTCTCAGTTAATAAATCATAAATCCTTCTTGCTGCTTAGCTCCAGGAGCAGCAAACACACCAGCCCTAGAGGGCTGCAGGAGCATCTCCTCACATCTTTCAATATTTGCTTTAAGGTATGTCAAGAAGCTAACTCTTCCTAACAAGTTCAAACTCTGATGTGCACAATTCAAAGTAAGGTGGTGGCTGAGATCAATACACAGAGGAATCCTAATAAACATCCTATTAAGCAACTCCTGTTTTCTTTCAAAAGTTGTCTCTGCATATCCTCAGCTATGGAACTATATCAAAGCTTAAATGCCTCCAGAAAAATGTGCTTAATGCAAGTTTAAAAAGCTTAAGTCAAAGCTTAATATCACCTAATCCTACCCAAACAAAACCTAGCAGCATTTTAAGGTGCATGCTCTGGAACGACAAACCAAGAGCACTGATCTGGGTTACTGCTTTACCAAATTAAACCATTTTGGATAGTGACAGAGGAAGGGCAACCACGAGGGAAGCTGCAGTGCTCAAGTTCTGATTCACTTATTCTTCTTTTAAAAACCACTAACAACAGCACAGCTAAGAACACGTGGAACAAAGAGCTTGTCACAATGGCACTGCCATACCACGTCAGGACAAGTTCTCTGGGCAGTTAGAAAAATCCTCAACAGCAATTCAGTAACTGCACAAGGCTGAAGGCATGACATCTCTCCAGTAGATGATGTTTTAAAAGCAAGAGCTCACTGCCACACAGTTAGTGTGGAGGTAAAGAGATTCCACACAGTTACCAAGAAAGTACTGCAAAGGGCAGCATGGAATGGGCACCTGCCTTGTGCTTACCTTTTTGGATGTCCGGGCCTTGGGAGACTTCGCCTTCTTCCCACTCTTTTTGTTCACCATGGATTTCCTCCCCTTCTTCTCAGGAGCAGGGGAAAGGATGGTCTCAGACTTGCCTTTGGCACCCCGTTTCTTGGCCAGAAGCTCAGGTTGAATTCTGGGCAGGACACCCCCACTTGCAATAGTCACACCTTTTAGCAACTGCCAGGAGAAGCAGTGTAGAGAAGCATATTACAGATCCTCTTAGCTTGCACCACCAAAAAAACTGTTAGGGAGAAAATCCACAATACAAAGGAACTTGGCAGGTGACAGCAAAGTCAGCCAGCACATCCTGGGAACTCTGCTGCTGTACAATCACTCTCGTCTCTTCCAGTGCAGTGGTCCTTGTGCAAACCTGTCCTTGGTGACTCGGAAACACTGAGTGTGGGTAAAATAAGAAAAGTGCCTGTGGGCTGCTTAAGAAAGTGCCTGTCCCACAGCCCTGCTCAAAGGACTGGATGCAGACCCCTCTGGCAGGGAAACATGCAGTGACAAAGCAAGGAAGAGCCCCAAGGACCTGCTCTGCAGAGACAAACAACAGGAGTGGGCTGTGATATTATGTGGAGGACAACGTCTGGCTAATTCCTAACAGACAACACTGGGTCTTTATAGATACCAGTTCACAGGTCACTGGCCAGAACCACAGAGCTGGGAAAGGGCTGGTAGTGTTAGCATGCTTTTCCTTCTCTCCTGGCCTCTGCTTTGACTTTTCAGTCTGCTTGAGTAGAAACAGAGTCACATGACTTCATGGGCACCACATTTTCGTTATTTAAAGCAGACAAATTAAGCACAGGAGTATTCAAAGTGTGAATGATGTCATCCATCCTAACATGGGGCCTACCAAGAAGAGATACTCTGATGCTGGCTGAACCTTTTTGGCATCCCTGAATAGTACGATTTACAGGCCATCCTAATGATTTCTGTCCTCACTCACCAAACTTAGCAGAAGTGAACCCACACGTGATCCTGAGAGTCAGAGCACAGCAAACCACAGCTAATGGGCAAATGGGTGGGGAGGCAGCAACAGAGTGAGCCAGATCCCTACCCAAGACAGGCCTCACAGCCAGTATAATAGAAAACACACACTGCTAAGCTTTTTAGAAAAGGTCTTGCATAAGGCACATTTTCTTCAAGTGTTGCATGTCCCTGAGGACAAGAATGAAGCATCAAGCCTACACACTTCAATAGGACCCACAGGCTACAAAAGAAGCAAAATTTATGTCCATAAGATTTAAGATAAGGTATCTCAGAACCTTTGGTTTTGTTTGCTTTTATTTAAGAGGGCACGGTCTCGCCTTCTGCTCTGACAACCACGCTCATGTCTCAGACTAAACTGTTTCCAACCTTCCCTCATGCAACAGCATGAGGGACTCCTGCATTAACGACTCCTTCATTAAAAATTGAGCAGGTACCTGATTCAGTTCCTCATCATTTGCAACTGCCAGGAGGATGTGTCTGGGGGCAATTCTCCCTTTCTTGTTGTCCCGCGCTGCGTTTCCCGCCAGCTCTAGAATTTCAGCTGCAACACACAGACATAAAAATGAGCAACAAAAATGTACCTTAGGTACACGCTGCAGTCACGCTTTACATTCCTCCTTAATATCCATTTACCTTCTCAGGGATGTTTCCAAATTTAAAGGGTCTTTGCTACGGAAAGGCAGAAACCAAATCCCACTCAATGAATTTGTAAATTTAGGTAAATTAATTTGTCCTTCCTAGTGCCCCCTAAAGGAGAGCTAGCAGAAAATATGCTAAGCTCGGTTCACATTATTTTTGTTACAAGTCCCAAGTCAGAATTATCTTTCAAAAAGACAAAAAACCCCAGCCTATAAAAATGTACATTAGCAGTCCAAAATTTAGCAGTAGCGTCGTAACAACAGAACAGTCAAGCATGCAGTGAAACCCCAAACCTGGCACAGACAGCTCTGACAAACAGCAAGGATTCTCAGGACCAGGTAAGATGAAGACTGAGGTGCATTTGAAGAAATACTTGGAAAGCCAACACACTAGCCAGGCACTGAAAATCTGTGAGCAGCTTCATTTCAGATCAAGATACGAGAGGTTTGCCTTAGGTGCAAGCAGAGACAACGTAAGAGCTTCAGTGCATGAAATATTGATAGAAGGTTCCTTTCACATCTCTGGGAACAGGAGGTCACTTCAAAAGTAGTTTCTCTAAATTAGCAGTAACATTTATACTGCAACCAAAGTCACCAAGCTTCTCCTACGTGTTATGGAGGAAATACAGACACATCTTTCTAAGTTTATTTGGACTGTAGTAAACAATCATTGGAATTCATTAACTTACACAGTTTGGCCCCTACTCAGAAGTTATTTCTCAGGTAAGAACTCTACTGAAACACTGGGAAGGAAGAAGGGATTCTTTTTCCCCCCCCTCCAAATAATCACAAAAGTCATATTCACACTTAGTTCCATTTTAAAAGCATACAGTGTCCCTGTCTTCTGATTTTTGGGTTTGTGTTTGCATTTGTTTGTGTTTTGCACTTCATACAGGGGTATGAAAACTACAGCCCATCAGTGTCCTTTGATATCTTACTGATGTCCTAATGATACCTTACTCCTAAATAAAGAACTGTAACTATTATAAGAAGAAGAACTTTCATGAAGAATCTAGTGGAAACATACATAATGCTGTCTGGCTAAAATCCAGATGATTTCAACATGAGGCTTAGCTCTCGGCTCTTGGGAAAAATACAAGTTTTCAATATCACTCAGTAAGAATAACAGAAGTACATATTTGCCTTCCAGTTTTCACTAGTACACAGTGAACATATTTAAATGAATGTTGGAGATGTAAAAGCCTATCTTTTTAAATTTATGTGCATATTCACAGTGAATTGTAAGAGTTAGGGGAGGAACCTCTCAGCTCTAGCATTTCCTAGAGTCTGTCCTGGATTTTAACAGAGACTGAAAAGAAATTCTGCATAATCCAGCTATATTCACCCCCATGGGGCTGGAAGCTTCAGACCCTCTCCCAGGCCTCTGCCAGTGGAGCTAAGGCAGCAGCAGACAGCAGGAACAGATTCCATCCATTGTGCAGACCAGCAAAGAGCAAGAAAAGAGACCCAGGCTTCTCCAGTGGGTTTTGCAGATGTTGCTGATAGCAGAGGAGAATTGCATCAGGGGGAAAAAAAAAAATCCAAAAAAGCAACACATACTTACCTGCATGGGAACTGAAGTTCTTTCAGGTGTGCCAACAACAGGCACATCCTGCTACCTGTGTGCTCACCCCACTCCCCCAGGTTTGGGTCCTTTGGCCAGCAGCATCCTGATGGTGCACCCAAATGTCCTCTGCCTAATGTCAAGAGCAAAAAAGGCAGAACACTCAAATGCCAGCCATCCACCACAGGACACTGGGAAGAAGGGAATCCGAGGCAGAGGTGATGTATGGCAGATTGTGGAATATGTATATACAACTTACCAAAGGATGCCAAATATCTGCATAGGTAAATAATCGCCTTACCTCCTTCTAATGGTGGTTTATATGCATATTTTTCTAATGGTAGAGGCGGGGACTCATAGTCTTAATAATATAAAATGGCACTTGCAAAATACACATCAAAACTGGAGGATTCAGTTGCCACATCCTCTGCTGTTAATAACAGATCCCTAAAGAAAGTGCTCTACATTTCAAGTAGAAACACCTTAACAGCTGAGGTTACCTGAATTCTAAGACTATTCTGAGAATATAGGTCCTATAACAAAAGCCTGTGCTACAACAAGCTCTCTTGAAATTGGGCATCTTGATATTCTCAGCCATAAATTGGCTTTACTTTATGTGCTCTCAGCAGCAGGTAGTAAGAATTAAAACGAAATCTGAAATAACCTTGCTGCCCTCAAGATTCAAAACCCACAAAGATGCCTCCACACCAGAAGTGTAACTTCAAATCCAGACATCTTCAGCACAGGGGGCTACAAGCAAACCAGCTCCTTGAGGGACTGTGGTACACATGGAATGCTGGGCTACAGAGCAGTGCCCAGAACTCTCCACTGGCTCTACCCAACACTTCTTTTCAAAGTATCTTTAAAGGAGCCTTTTCTCTTGTTTGATAAGCACTCAGACCAAGGAAGAATACAACTCCCTTTCAGCCAAGCCATGACCTGAACGGGATTACATCTCCTCATCCTGTGACATACCAGAAAAAAAGAGGTTTCTCTGGCTGATGGATCAACACATTTGGAGTGTCTGTGAAGTAAAAGCCTCCTAGCCAGGCCAAAGGTATTTGTTCAGCTGAGCTCAGCCTGTTTCTGTGAAGCTGGACTGATAAGAAAGGTCTATGAGAATTACTGATAGCAAACTGGAAAGATTTCATACAGGTTATTTATCTTGTTTTCCACCTCCCCTTTAGGATAACTTGTGTGAGGCAGATTATGCCAGGTGATTTCTGTGAAGGAAGAAGCCTTTCCTGGTGATGTGTTCTGCCCTAATTTAGAGGGGATGGCTTTCCATTGGCATCTTCCATGAGTTCCTCTGAGCAGCACACCCCTCACATGACTTCTGCCTCCTAATCAAGGGGCATCTGCATTCTCTGCCTGGTTTTTGGGAAGGTGCACTGTGGGACACATGCAGCTGGTGTTTGATTTAGATGACTGTGACTGCAGTCAGCCCTGTGCACACTCAGAGCATGAGTCTGCTGCAGACCCCATAAATCCAACGGGACCGAGTCCAATTTTCCAGAGCTTTAACTCTGAAGCCAGTGGAGCCCAACGCTGTTCCAGCAAACAAAACTTTCTAGACAGGAATTAAGCTGCAGTTTTGCAATATGGTTTTCCAGCCTAAGATATAAAACAGCACAGAGAGATTTAAATGAAAGGCATAGAGACCACCCTTCCCCTTTTGTAAAGCATCAAATCTCTGCTCAAATGCAGAGAAGCGCTCAGGGGTTTAGAGAAGTTCTCATGAATGCCTTAACACAACAAAAATACATGGTTTGACCTGCTTCTGTGAAACAGCTAAAAAGCCAGACTCCCTTATTGCCACCCTCCTAGATTTAGCCTGAAGCAGTTCCCCTGCATGCAGCCTTTCATCCTGAGTAACCAGCATTTCCTAGCTGCAAGTCCACGAGAAAAGAATGGCATTTTTAACAGGAAGCATCAGATAATGTTAAGAAAATTTGCCAGTTTGACATGTAATACCCCCTTTAACAACAGCCTTGGAAAAACACATTTTGTTTCTACAGGCTTACCAAAACCAAAGACTTTATGCACACAAAGTACTAGGAATAACTAGATCAGCAGGGTTAGATGTCGCAACACTGTTTTTTTAATCGAACTCTCCACCTTTGTAGTATTTCCAAATAAAACTCTGGACAGAGCACAGAAACTTTGTTTTGGAAAGGCCACTATCCACCAGCAATAGGTGTTTGCTCAGAAACGTTACTCCATTCTGTGACAATATATGCAGGGTTGGGTTCTTTGCTCAACCAAGCAGCTTAAAATAGCATTCCTTTACAATTTATGTGGGCTCCCAGCCCACACCTCTAGCAATTTTCTTGCCTGGTTCACTACACATTCTTTTTTTTTTCCTAAAACAAAGACTAGGCCCACACGTAATCTGTCCATATAATATTAATGACCCAAATTAAGCTGCATTTACTAGCCAGGAGCAGAGCCAAGATATACATTGTTCTAGTTCAGGTAATAGGTCAACAGTGCTGACCATAACTCAGTCTGCACTACTGAAATGGTGCACACACCAGATGTGCTGCTGACAATTTATTACTGCACCTTGTAATAATTGCCACAGTTCAGAACAAGCATCTCCAAATGTTTATCCCAGAAGCTCCTTTGAATGCTCTGGATCCATGTGGAGTGGGAAAAGAAAAGACATATTCCTCCCCAGACAGAGGGTCGGCAGAGTCACAATGCAGCACGTTATGTTATAAAAGTTAGTGTGATTTCTTCAACACAAGCAATACTTTGTCACTCCAGCTCCAGAAGGAGCATCAGAAAACAACAAAAGAAGTCGATTCTCATCCTGCAATGTACCAGCACAAACACGGAAGTTTCTGTAATATGCTATTAGGCATCATCAGAAATTTAATTTTAATGGTGAAATTAGTGAAATTTAATAGTGAGATTTTATATTTTCTCCACACCTTTGAAAGAAAATAGTGCTTTTATTGTCTGGTAGTGAGAACAGGCTTTTATGTGTAAAAAAGACAGAGATGTTTATGTAAAGCCTGGCATGCTTTTACATGGACACCAAGGCTCCATGCAAGCTTCTTCCTGCCACTTTGGCAATAAACTATGCTCCTGAAACACAATCCACTCAACTAATTCCATCCAGGCTGTGACCCCTCACAGATTCTCTAATGCACCTCAGTCTTGATCTGTAACACCTGAGTAACCTGAACCAGAATCCTCTCTGCACCATGAGTTCTAACAATTTCCTTAAGTGTTATTTTCCATAATTAAATAAGAAACTGAGCAGATCTGACCACAGGACACTCTGAAACATTACTATACAGAATCACAGGACATTGTACCACCACGTGACACCTGCCCCTTCCTCCGAGTTCAGTTTCAGAAAGGAAGGAAAAAGAAAACTTGGGGTACATGGGAAGATTTAAACCCTGAAGCACTTTCTTTACACGCTTAGGCAAAGCAAAAGCGTTTTTAAAATGCAAAAGAACAGCCTTTAAATTTCATAACACTTTTGACACTGTCCAGCAAGGAGAAACACAGCCAGCAAAACAGTTTGCTCACTTGAAAAGCACAAAAGATGTACAAGGTAGGTTTACTTTTTTTCTCCTGTTATTCACAGAATCACAGAATCTGCTGAGCTGGAAGGGACCCATAAGGATTAACGAGTCCAACTCCTGGCCCTGCACAGGACCATCCCCAAGAGTCACACCACGTGCCTGAGAGTATCATCCAAACACTTCTTGAGCTCTGCCAGCCTTGGTGCTGTGACCCCTGCCCTGGGGAGCCTGTTCAGTGCCCAGCCACCCTCTGGGGGAAGAACCTTGTTCTAATATCCAGCCTAAATCTCCTCTGGCACAACTTCAGGCCACTCCCTCAGGTCCTGTCACTGGTCACATTTAGATGTGTCAAAAGCTTAACATAATAATATAATATCAGTTATTATCCTGTCCAGCTGGTGCCTCCATAGGAGAAAACTTCCACCGTCAGTCTCTTCAAGAAACAAGTTAACCTCCTCAGCATTTTCAGCAAACATCAACAAGCGCTGCACTGGCAGAGCCTGATTTTCAGAAGTGCTCCACACGCTCCTGCCCCATCCCTTGGACATGCCTGGCTCCTGTGCGTGCTCAGCAGCTGCAGGCCCAGGTTCTTGGTTTACCTGCGAGGTACTCTATGACAGCTGCCATGTACACGGGCGCTCCCACACCGATCCGGTACTTGTACGTCCCTTTCTTCAGGTAGCGCATCATCCTCCCCACGGGGAAAATGACACCAGCCCTGCTCGAGCGGGACAGTTTGGACATTTTCTTCTTCCCGCTCCGGCCCGACATCTCGCAGCCTTGTGCTTCTCACCCCCCTGCTGACTCTGAACGCCTTGCTCCAAATCCACGAGCTGCAAGAGAAGGCAAACAGGGTTGGCGTTCAGCGCGTGGGAAACATCTTTATGCGTTGTTGTTGTTGTTGTTCCAGGAGGGAAAAAATCCAAGCCCGCCCTCAATACCTGAGGCATTATTCGTTAAAAGTTGGATAACTGGGATATTTGCTGTAACTTTGCTTTTGAACTGCACTGTCAGGAAAGCAATATCAGGAACAAAGAAAACAAACCTCGTTTTCTCTGTATTTTTCACGAGACTTTAGGCAAACAGGCGACAAACCCTGGAGTCTGCCACTCCACTCCAAAGGATGCGGGGTGGTCGTATTACACCCCTAGTTCTCAGCCAAATAATAGGGATGTTTTAACTCTGTTTACAAAACCTGGTTTTAACTCCATTTTGACAGCTGCCCTGGAGGCCCAATTACCAGCCTGGTTACTCCTCTGAAGCCAAGGAAGAGCAGGTCTGCCACAGGTGGTATTTCTGCCAGTGAAGGCACAGCTACTTCATTCCCAATATTCATTCACCCCAGTGAAACAAGGAAACACAAGGAGGGAGATAATTTGGGGGGGAAAAAATAAATTATGAATTTAGGTGATATTGTTAAACTTTATCACAATCTACATTTTAAACAGCCTTCCGGAAAAATAAAAATATATTTCATTTGACACCACTGCAAGCCCTTGGGAACAATCAACATTCACCCAAGCAGGGCACAGAAATCTGTTTCAATCTTATCCTGATTATTATAAATGAAGTGGATGTACAAAGAGAGTCATCTGTCCATACAAAGCCAGGCATTCCCAGAAACCATCTCATCCATAACAGCCAAAGCCAAGGGGCAGTTTCTACAATAACCCAACTTGAACGCTGGTTTCGTTTATGGTGTCAAGGAAAACAATATCAGCAGGGATCTATAAAACCCTGGCATGTCCTTGTCTATCGGCCAATTTTTTTATTCTGTGCGCAACACATTATGTGGGCATGATAAGGAAAGTTGGGAAAGATTAAGGCAGTAAACCTATCAGACAGGGACACGTCAAAATTGCTGTTGCTCATCATCCCACTCCGAGCTCCCTGCTGACTGCCAGCCTGGAATCACGAGTGGTGGTAACAGAGCTGAAAGGGAAGGTGGAAAGGGGAGTGGGGAGACATGACAAGTTTGGAGATTGCTTCAGAGATGTAAGAGGATGCTGAGAAGGTGGAGAGAGTGAGTGTTCCCTACAGCAGTGGCTCTTACAGAAGCTGTGTGGCAGGGGGGAGCAGAGCACCAGATTCAGTCAGACAGGAGGCAGCAGAACCTTCCCTCAACTTTAAAACAGTTAGAGAATAAATGTCAGAAATCACTGGACAGCATTGGATCTGCCCTGGGACTGGAGGTGACCTCCCAAGGTCCTTTCCTCAATGAAACTTGCAATTTGTGACAAACTCCCTACAAACTTTCAGTTTCATAATAATAACAACCCTTAAAACGTGTCTTTTTCATTCGAGTTTACTGACACTCAAACTACTGAATAAACGTAGGGAATTAGGTTTCTTAGCCATCAGAGGAGTCAATTTCTGGAACAGCCTTCACTTCTGAACAATACGAGCAACAGTAACTCATTTTAAGGTGGAGCTTAATAAGTGTATGCAAGTAGGGCAGGAACTGGTTCCATCACCCAAGAGTTCAGTCCAGCACTGAAATCCCTACAGAGAGCCATGCTGGCAGAGTACACTACATGTATCAAAATCATATTAAGCTCACCCCTCATATGTTTGTTCCCAAATCCCACTTGCTTGTAAATCAATGGGAAAAGGCAAACATCAAGAGATTACACCCACAGAAAATACCATACTTGTACTTGATCTCTGTGATAGAAAATCCAAACATGTTTGTATATAACTAACCACATTGTCCTGGGCATGCTGTAGCATTATATAAATTTATGTTTAATTACTCACTTCTGGCTCATTCTTCCGTTGTCTCACTGAACTTTCCGCCCCTGTCTACTCCTTTATTTCCCCCTTCTCTCTCACAGCAAGCCTCAGTCATTTTTATCCCCCCTGCTGCCAAGCCAACTTTTGGAATCTCAAAATATTTTTCCAAATACACTGCAGGTGACAGAGCAGGTTATGACTGTGGAACTTTCTGAGATACATTTGTAAATACAAGAGGTTTCAAAACTCTGCTAGCACTGTCTCTCTCTCTGTCTCTTCTTTGCAACTTAACGTGGACCAGGGTACACTGAGGAGCAATACAGACCACACTGTGTTCTTGTCTTGAATCCTACAGGAGGCAATTTTTTGGTAGAAAGCCAAGCTATGGCATAATCACATCAGCTCCTGGGGACCTGGACAAAGAAATGTGCACATCAGCTCCTGTGGACCTGGACAAAGGAATCCCACAGGCAAGGGTTTGGTTTCCTTTGCAGCACCATCACCTTGGAGGATGCCCCTGAGCTCAGCCCTGCCACAGTTAGGTAGGGCACTCACCTGGACTGCAACCAACAGGTAAAGAGCCACAAGTTGGGCACTGCCATCCTAATTGTTCTCTTCTGATGACACAGCCAAGCCTCAAGGGCTTCTCATGTGAAAAGCTCTCGAGTCTACCCACATGAATTCCCTCTGTGCCAGCTGATTCATCATCTCTACGTTTGTCCTCACAAAGCACAGCCTCCGTTTAAAGATACGCCCGTGCCGTTCGTGCGAAGTCCGTCCTCGCTGAGCTGGAAGAGTCTATATCTGGCTACCATGACATCACGAGGCCTGGGCAATTTAAAGTGATTAATTTTCCCAATCCCTTAATTGGTCACAGCACACTCCTACTCTGCCATGACTCCAACATCCCTGTGTTGCTACGGGGGATCGAGCAGCTACCACATCTCCCAGAGCTCTCTGTGATGGAAACAGGGTAGACTTCTGCAAGCTGGGCGTTCGTCTGTTGAGTTTTACCTTCTTCAGAGCCCAGACAACCAGTGACATCTTCCTCCTGCCTGCTGGAGAGAGCTCTGCCTCCTCACCTCTCTCAGGTCTGCTTTGGCCACTTGGAGGGTCCCTCCTCTGCAGACATGACCGCCCTCTTTTCTCCCACCACAGCTATCAGCAGAGGGTGAGGACTGTTCCACAAGGACACTGAGACGACAGACTGCCCTGGGATATTCCTCTCACCATTGTGCCATCTGCATCTCACACCACATCCCAGTGGATCAAGCTTTACTGCAGCCACCTCACAACCACTTTCCTCTCCTTCCTACACAGGTGCTCAGAAGAACAAACTCTCATAATCATCTTTGGACAGGAAAAGCACATATAATTTTTGGAAAATATGAACAACTTGCTGACACAGAAACAGATGAAACCCCCAAAAGAACCTGGACTTGGCCAGAAAACAATTTCAGAAATTAGCATGTCAAGATGGGGCCGGAAAGCAGGGACTCAAATGAGAGAGTTCAGTGCTGTACAAAACGCCTAAGAGACACCAAATCTAAATTTTTCTCTAAGAAAAACCACAGAGAACAGTAAAAGAAAGATTAGTTTGAACAATATAGCACCAAAACTCTTGCAACACTGGCGGAGAATAGCAAATTCTGAGGAGGAGAAATTGCTTTTTGTTTTTAAATAGCCAAATGGATTTTACACAGGTGATGCGGGATTTCCCAAGAGGGATTGAAAACATTTGGCTGAGTAGTTTGCAGAACAAGGTTGACAGTACTTAGAATCACAAAATGGTTTGGGTTGGAAGGGACCTTAAAGCTCATCCCATTCCACCCCCTGCCATGGGCAGGGACACCTTCCACTAGCCCAGGTTGCTCCAAGCCCCGTCCAACCTGGCCTTGGACACTTCCAGGGATCCAGGGGCAGCCACAGCTTCTCTGGGCAACCTGTGCCAGGGCCTCCCCACCCTCACAGGGAAGGATTTCTTCCATATATCTAATGTAAATCTCTTCTAGTTTAAAACCATTCCCCTTTGTCCTGCCCATGTAAAAAGTCCCTCTTTCTCTTTTTTATTCAAGTACTGGAAGGCTGCAATAAGATCTCCCTGGATCCTTCTCTTCTCCAGATGAACACCCCCAGCTCTCCCAGCCCGGCTCCAGAGCAAAGGGGCTCCAGCCCTTGGAGCATCTTGACATCCAAACACCGAGAGAGCTGGAACTCAGCAGGCAAAGACTGAAACAAAGGACACGCGGGACTATCAACACACTTGCACTGTCCTCATCTCCAGCCAAAGATCTACTGGAACAGTTACGAGCTGACAAGGAACCCGCAAACGTTGTATCACGGGCCAACTTCGGCTGCACACTCATACACACACAAGATACTTGTGAAAAAGAATCCAGAAGCCCCAGAGCAGGTGCTGGTTACGCGAATGCCCCCGGTGAGGCACACGCAGGGCACAAACACAGCGCTGTGCAGCGGGCAGGCGGGGTATCCCCCGGGCCCCAGGAGCAGGCACAGGGCGCGTTCCTGCGAAAGCAGCTTCCCGAGCACCCCAAACCCCGGGGGCCCTGCCTGGGCAGCTCCCCCTCACAAAGCACAGCGGCTGAGGGGATGGGTCTGGCTACTGAGACCCAGACCGAATGTCCGGAGCTGGCTGAGCGCTGCCAAACCAGGCGAACGCCCCGTCCCGCCGCAGAGCCCTCAGAGCCCGCCCCGCGCCCCTCTGGACCCGCCCGCTCCGCGCGCGCCTCGACGCTGCCCAGACACCACCGCCCCGCCCACCCCCGCGCTGATTGGCCGCTGCGGCAGCCCGGGCCGCGGGGGGAGCGCGCTGATTGGCCGCGAGCGGTTTGATGGACGGGCGAGGGGCGGGCAGTGCCGTCCGGGCGCGCAGGCGCGCTGGGGCGCGGCGGGGTGTGGTGCGGGGGGTGTGGCCGCGGCTTTCCCGCGCAAACGCTCCCCCCCC